CTAGAATAAGTCAAATACTTCCGGCTTTTATCATCAAAAAACAGAGGCTAAAATGGATGGAAGATTGTGCAATAACACAAAGAGAGACAGTACTTTTAAACTTGTTGAAACCATACATCTTTTATAGCACAGCACATGCATTACATCCCAGCACTCAGTAGCAACAAGACATCACTAACTTCCTTTAGGGTTTGACAATCCAGACTCTCATAAATCTGAAAAGATTCCATAACTGAACACAGAGTGAATTTCTAAGTATTTTTTAAACTCAAATTAACTCCATCTCATTGTATATAAACTTCCACAAGCTTCTGCCACTAGATAACTTGGCAACAAAACTTGTTTCAGCCATATTGAGGCTTAAGAGACAAAAGAAATTAGCCATTGTCATTATACAAAATAACGACAGTGATGTACGCCTCATAGGGGTGTTTTAAAGATTTTAAGCACTGATATATTAACATAATTCATAGCCAAATGGCAGTGAAATGGCAAATCCTCAATGAATTACTCTAGATTTACATGTGTTTTGTATGTGTAACGTTATCTCTGCACTTCTTTATTTCTGATATATGATCAATCCTATTCCAATTTGTATCACTTACACTTGGGTATTTTTTAAATCTGTAACTTGAGTTAAGACTTGTACTCTATATTTTATATCTATCTTTATTTTTAAAATTTTAACAGATGTCTTTACACTAAATCCTTCTTTTACAGTAAATATCAATTTTATAAATCACTCTAAGGTTATCACTTATGCGTAGATTTATCTAGCCATGTATACTTACACTTAAATTACTATTTCTAATTAGCCCCATTTAAGTAGCCTCTATATTTTTCCAAAATTAATACCTTCACCTTCTCTCCAGAGATAACATATCTATCTATCTATCTAGCTAGCTATTCATCTCTATTTCATTTCTTTTTGCTACTGTCATGGCTCTTAACACACTCTTAATATTATCATACATCTATTTATTTATTATATGCCAACATATAGTGAAACAATCCATAAACTACAAATGTAAGGCACACATGTAAACAAACATATATATATATATGCATAATATGTACATATTTTGTGTAGATATACATATACTTATGTCTGTGTACAGTTGTGTCTATAATTGCATAAGTGAGAATAAAACGATCTATCAAAAAAGGTGAAATGGGCTCATGGTGTCTGTTTCTGAGATATAAAGTTTTATAAAACATGACTTGCTTTTCATGATGAAACTCACGGTTAGAGTGGAAAATAGGAATAAAAACAATCAGAACACATTATAACCTTAATGGTGGGTGTGTCTCAAGTGCTGCCAGGGCAGAGTGAATCATGGTTTTAGGAGTCAGGGAACACTACTGAGAATGCAATGTTGGGATTGCCTCAAACAAATGAGCAATAGGTCATATGTGGAGAGGGCAGGAAAGAACATTCTAAGAGGAGGTGACAGCATATGCCATCATTAAACATGGCAGGTATAGAGGATGGAAACTACTCTGAATGACTTCATCTGATATTGTGAGGGGGGAGGTGCAGATGAGTGAGGAAAAGAGGCACAAAAGGCAAAAAAAAAAAAAAAAAGATAGAATAGCGCCTGATTAATAAGGAATTTGTATACTACCTAAGAAGTCTGAAGGCTGTACAGTAAAAAATGCAAGGTAAAGAAGCAGCATAATTGGATTTATTTAATTATTTTATTTAATGAGGTAGATTTATCTTGTGGCTGCTTGGAAGTTAAATGGAAGAAACACTGGAAAAAGAAAAAATGTTGAGGAGACAACTGTACCACGTAGGAGATTGTGAAGGCCTGAGATACATCAGTGGGATCAACATTAGAGGGAATATGAGAGAAACTATGGATGAGAAGGAAAAATATGTGGGGATATTGGATGCAGGGGCTTTTTAGGGGGAGATAATCACATTTGTCCACACTTTAGTTGGTTGAGCCAATAGTAAAAATCTAAAAACACACAAGGACTCACTGAAATCAGAAGCCCACATTGGAGCTATCTAAGGGAACCATTTAGTTTGAAGACACTGCTAAATAAGGAATGTTCAATTCTCATTGTTCTCCACTCATCTTCCAGTTATCCATCAACAGACTCAACCATGTTAGCATTTAGAGATAGGTATTCTCCTTTCCAAAAGTACACAGTTCATCCAAAAGTGAGGAGAAGAAACACACAATTACAAATCAATATTCACATTCTAGTAGTGCCAGTTGGTCTATATTCTCAGTATTCTTTGCACACTGCTTTACAGATTACATTCTCAGTGAGAATCAAGTCTCAAGCTGTCCAAGTTCAGAGCACCTTGGCCAATCTGCATGATCAGAGACAGCTTGGCCAATATTCCTATGAGACAAAAAATCTGTAGTAGAAAGGGAAGTGACCTTGGAGTACACAGACCTTAGATTTCGTCCCTCCAAGGCAGCCATTAGATTTAGTTTCCCAGAAAGTCTGGGGTTTAGAGTCCTTACCTGTAGAATGACAGGATAGAGCCAGGAAATTTATGGATATTTTTGTTGCTCTTGATTCTCTGAAAGACTATGATCCTACCCAGGTCTGAAGAGGCACTTAAAGATCTCTTTTGAATGAATGATGTGATTCAGAGCCAGGACTGTGGTGTCAAGTTGGCTGGACAAGCTCTCCCATGGGAGACTTCATAGCAATGACGAGTATGTACACTGTACATACTGTAGGTCACACACACTTCTATACCCGTAATCTGATTTTATTGTTATGAGAACCTGAAATATTATCCCTTCCATCTTTAGAAGAAGACACTGAAGCCCAGAGAGATAAATAGCTAGCTAAGTGTTAAGTGCTTGATAGAAGTTTTATTATTTAAATCACGTAATGTTCCTATGACTTTCTAATCCTACTCTCCCATCTTTACCACCATACCACTGTTGTCCCATCTTTCCCTTCTTTCCATTTAATAGACAATGATCTGAGGCTCATGAAGAAGAAGTAGCTTTCACTCCATTAGTTAAGTACTAGCCCCAAATCGGCTGAATCTAAAATCTCTGCTCATAAACTTGGTCAGAATCTAAATCCCTACAATGGCTAGAGGCTGGCACATATAAATGAAATGATCCAAGCAGGATTATTTAAAACTATAATTATTTATTTATCCTTTTAAGTGGATTTAATGTGTGTCATATATATACCAATGACCCACAAAGAATATATTCATTATGTGTTGCAACTGAAAAAAGAAAAGACAAAAATGGGGGAGGGGACCTAAAGATGGAGGGATGTCGGAGGATAGGAGAGGAAGGAAAATAAAAAGAATTAAAATGTTAAATGCATGTACCTACTCCCTAAGATTAATGCAAACATCATGTACTATAAATATTTACTAATAAACTATAATTAGTAATTTAAACCTATTAATAAAAACTTTTTAACTTCATAGAAGAAAAATAATAGTAAAAGTAAACTAATATAATGAAACTTGCACTGAATTGTGTCATAGATATAGGAGAGAGACTGATGGAACTTGGTAGAATGGAAAAGTATGTAGTCTCTCCAAGGATGGCAGTGCCCAACTCAATTGACCAGAGGCAGGTTCATCTATGCCAGATCTTTGGATTTTAGGATAAAAGCTGAATACCTAGAATCTGAAATAAAATCTCTCTCTTTTTAAACATTAACAATTAACATAATATTCTTCAAACAGAATAGAAGATATCCATCTCATCTCTACCTGGCTCACAGAGTGAAAGTTTATTACATCTGTTCTGCATTGTGTTTCTTTAAAGGAGAGGTCCATACAATTAGCTAATGTGTGCTACCTCTGAGACTTCTCTGTCACATTAGTGATCAGCTGAGGAGTGGGATGGAGCAGAAGCCTGCTGATCCAGCTGTGTCTCTTGTTCCTGCTGAGCAGGTAATCTGAGTGGGATATTGGATATTTTGGATATCATTCTTAGCTAGATGATTTTGTATAAAACAATTGCCTTCATTTTCACAGCAAACAGAAAAGGACATTCAATTACATCTATTTTCCAGAATAGTAAATGCATCTCGATTGCTTATAAGGGTTATACAGCGGTAAGGAGCTAACCTGGGCCATTAGACTCAGTTCTGGCTCCATTTCTCTTCATTCCATTAAGTTGTCTCTATTTTGGAGGGAATTTTTATAGCATTAAGTTAAGGAATACTTCCTCTTTTACTTCTCTCTGGTGAGATTCTGAGGCAAAGATGAAGGCAGGGAATAGAATCATCTTTCAGGACAGAAGATAACTGTGTCAATTCTTATCAGCCTCACCATCAGATCAGGGAAAGAGAAGACACTGACAGAATGAAGAAGGAGGACAAAACAAGAACCTTGTCCTTCATAACCTGGAAATTTTGACCTTGAACCAGACACTCCCAACTCTGTAGGTGACTGTAAGGACAATACATACACAGGGAGGGAGCCAACTTTTGGAATGCATGAGTGATGAGCCAAGGAGATGCCAACTAGCTGTCTCATGGCTAAGCTAGTCCCAGAATATTTTATATAAAGACAGCCTTCTGCCTAGGGCCTCTGCCTGAATGACTTCGTGCCTGCTGAGAAGGGTAAGTCTAGAAGCTGTCTGTTGGAATTGTGGTGGGGGTGATGTTCAGCATATTCATAGAAGTGAAGGCTAGGAGAAGAGGAATCTGGGAGCCAAAGAGCTGTGCATGAGCCTTTGAAGAACATCTGAGGACATTGGGGGGACATTAGAAGAAAACTGATAGAGTTTATGAAAAGAGATAGGACTGTGGAGTCAGTGTGCTTGTCTTTCATAATCCTGGCGTCATCCTGAGTAGCAATTTTCCCTTATCAGAACCTTCTTTCCTTGGAAGAGGTATATTAATGATTTATATCTTGTGAGCAGTGTTATGTGAAGAAGGGTTATCTTCTCAAGGGAACATGTAGGTAGACAAATGGAAAACATGTAGCTTTGTCCTTCATTACTATAATTTACAGTTTTCGGGGGAACTAATGGAGAAGTGATTTGTAGGATGCAAATTTTCAATCAGTTCCCCACTGTGCCAATTACTGGGCTACTTGAACAATAGCAGGTCCATTGTAGGACAGCAGAGGAGTGGATGCTGCCCTGCCTTCTGCCTGGCTAAGTGTGGCACTAGAGTGCACATCTGCATCAGATTCTGTTTATAATGCTCCTGCTCAGTAGAACTTTAAGAGTGTCTCAACATCAGTCTTGTAATTAAGAATCTTACATTTAAATTGGATGTGGTAGTGTGTGCCTATCATCCCAACACTCAGGAATTGTGAGTTAGAGGCCAGCCTGGGCTATGTAACTATAAAGCAAGACTTTGTCTCAAAAGGAAAAAAAAAAAAGAAGGAAGGAAACAGAAAGGAAGAAAGAAAGAGAGAGAGAAAGAAGGAAGGAAAGAAAGACAGAGACAGACAGACAGAAAGAAATGAAAGAGAGAAAGAAGGAAAGAAAGGAGAGAGAGAGAGAGAGAGAGAGAGAGAGAGAGAGAGAGAGAGAGAGAGAGACCCTTATACTTTCTGTACTTTTTCAGTTAGTCAATTTTAGGTAATCCTGCCTCTCAGAGGGTTAGAGAGCAAGCATTTTTGAAGCCAACCAATTGTCACATTCTAGGTGATTAAGAAAACCGACTTGCCTCTGCAAGCGTCCCTATCGATCCTGAGTCTATTCAAGACTGGTATGTTTTGTATGTGCATGTCTTTGCATAGATCCCTATGGACCTGTTTATGTGGATTCACATAAAAAAGTCTGATTATGGAGATATAAATCCTTAGTTCTGGATTTGAGTTGCCCAACAACTTACTAGGTTCCTTGCTATCTAATGAATTCTTTGACATTACTTGAGCATAGGCACTGCCTGAGCGCTTGTTCCCATGTGTTCATTTTTACCTATGTGCCAATACATACATGATATCAGTATGTGAGTGTGAGGAAAATTATGGCTCCCATGGATGACAAGTGCTCATTCTGGGCTGAAGTGTTGATACTCCCTATAGGGAGTACCCTCTCTATGACAGGATTTGAGGGAGTAAGGGATTACTGTATAGATTTGTCATCAGTACCCTCTGGTGCTTCATACTGGGCAATTCACCCTCCATGGGAGATTCTGTGTACAGTACATCTAGTCTGGATGTGCACAACTATACAGGTCTCATGATCGGTAGTGCCTGATACTTAGTCCAACAGTAAGTAAAGATTCATGGATGAAGACTGAGAGGAGAGAAGGAAAAGTCAGAGAAGACATAGGCATCCTGTCCTAATTACTGATTCACCCTCCACAACATGCTGCTGACTCTGGTCTCTCTTTCTTCAGGTCCCACTCACCGTGCCTCAGGACCATGTGTGACCAGCAACAAATTCAGTATTGCCTGCCGCTCCCCCAGTGCTGTGTCAAAGGTTCCTCCTTTGGTGCCTCCCAGTTCCTTGGTACCAACAACCAGGTGGTAGGCCCAGTCCCTAGTGGAATGCAAATTTTGGAGTGCCCTGGGCCATGTCCAGTTCAAGTTTCTCAAGCTCCCTGCCACTCCCAGACCACTCAAGAGGAGTGCCAGGCTCCATGCAAGTCTAAGACCTCTCAGGTGAAGGGCCAGGCTCCCAGCAAGTGTAAAACTACCCAAGCAAAGTGCAAGTCCAAGGCAAGCCAGGTGAAGTGTGAGGCTCCCTGCCAGACTCAAGTTTCCTATGTCCAGTGCCAGGCTCCATGCCAGTCTGGGGTTTCCTATGTGCAGTATGAAGTCCCATGCCCTGTTCAGACTTCCTATGTAGAAGGTGCTCCAATTTGTTACACAGAAACTTGTTATGCAGAGTATCCAGTCCAGACCTACATACCTGTTCTAGCTCCTCAACCTGTTACTACTTATGTAGAACGTCCCCTAGTGTCCCAGACTCAGGGAAGCTTTTCCACCCAGTGCCAGTATCAAGGCTCTTACAGAGGCTGCCTACCCCAGCGTCAGTCCCAGGCTTCCTATAGTAGCGGTGCCCCCCAGTTTTACTCAGAGACCTCCTACAGCAGCTGCGCTCCGCAGCGTCAGTCCAGGACTTCATTTAGCACTTGTGCACCCCAGTACCAGGCCCAGCGCTCCTATGGGAGCTTCTATGGGCAGCGCCGGTCTCAGAGCACCGGTAGATGCCTCCCTTCTCGTAGGCTGGAGCCTTCTTACCGCAGCTGTTCTCCACCACGACGGTTTGAGCCCTCCTACAGCAGCTACCTGCCATCAAGATGTTCTCCAGATTCCTGCAATTACTGCACTCCACCCCGGCGCTCTGAGCCCATCTACAATAGCCACAGTTCTCTGCACCCCGGTGCAGGCTGCTCCCAGAAATGTGGACCCAAGTACCGGATAGAGATTTCCTCCCCGTGCTGCCCCAGGCAGGTTCCACCACAGAGATGTCCTGTCCAGATTCCCCCCATCAGAGGACGCTCCCAGAGCTGTGCCCCACGACCATCCTGGGGTAACCGCTGTCCAGAGCCAAGACCACGAGTACAGCCACGTCCCCTCCAAAGGTCCTGCTCGCCACAGCGTCGCGACCCAAGTCCAGAGCTATGCCCGCCACGTCGCCCACTTCCTGCTCCGCGTCTGTATCCACGCCCCAAACCATGGATAAATCCAGAGCCCTGCCCATGTCCTCAAAGGCAATTTTCAGAACCTTCTTTGCGTCCGGAACCACGTCCAGTACCACGTCCAGCTCCACGTGTAGCTCCATGCCCAGCTCCAGGAACTCGTGGACTGCAGTGTGAGAACTCACATCCATGCCCACAGCCCAGGGAGTGTGAAGAGCCCTGTTCACATCCAGAGCCCATTCCTCTTCCAGCTCCATGGTCAAGCCCGGAACCTTGTGGGGAGCCTATCCGTAGTCCCAGCCCCTGCCTAGATCCAAATCCAATTCCATTCCCACCAGATATGGGCTGTCATGAATCCAAACCACACTGCCTCGACACGGAGGGTTCCAGCTGCGGCCCATGTGGTTACAACCAGGGGCAAGAGGGTGGTGCTGGCTGTGGATCTAGTGGTTTGATTCCAGAGCCACAAGGTCTAGGTGGTTGTGGAGACCAGGGAAACCTGGGTGCTGGGTTAAAAGGCGGAACAAAGAGTGCCTATTTTTAAAAGAAGTATGACTGAAGTGTCTCTGTCTGGTGCTCTGAAAATACTGTACTTTCCTTTTTTTTTTTTTTTTTTTTTAGCAGCCACGGTTTCCAATGGGTTCTTGTTTGATTCTTGCCAAAGATTTTCTTTCCTCCCATCTCCTTTGCATGGCATTTCAAGTTTCACACCTGGGTCTCAGACACATCTCCAGCCTCATATCTGATGCTTTTTCCTGTTCACATTTTTAATTCTAGCCAGACCAGCATGGCCACCAGGTACATCCTGAATATTTCTAGGTGTGCTTGTCTTCAAGCCTGTGACCATTCTCTCTTCTTCTATCTAGACCATTTTTCTTCTGTTGCTTAGGATCTAAAATCCAATTGTTTCTCTTCCTTGAAGCCTTCTGTGCCTATTTCTACTCAGAAACCTGTGCTGACTTCCTAAAATTCATGGCTTCAGTCACCCCATCCAGGAGGTCACTACTTTCAAACAACTCTTGAATTGTTATTTCCCTTTCATGTGTGTCTGTCTGATTTGCTAAGTAGATTGTAAACTCTCATCCAAGTACAGTCAGCATATCATTGAACTTCTAGCCTGTTTTGGAGCAGGCAATTTCAGCAAGACCTGGATTTGCTGTCTTAAGCCATATTGTGCCTCGATGGGCAGCTGTAGCAACTGAGACAAGTGGAGGACAGACAATAATCAAGATCATGACATGCTCACAGCCTGGATCCTGAGTAGCATTTTCATTCCTCCTGACTGATGGTGGGGTTAAGCATGCTGTTCAGTGGAGCTGTCCTTTGGCTACAGTTAAAATGTTGCAATTAAACACGGTTTCATATATACTTCTTTGAGGCCATTATTTCATTTTTTTTAAACATTAAAGTTCAATTTTAAATACTCTTAAATAAAAACACTTTCTAACTTTCTTCATTCAGTTCTGGCAAGAAATACACTGACTCTAGATTTAGATTATAGCTAAGATTAAGTTTTGGGTTTTTTTGTACCGGAAATCAAACTCACAACCTTGTACTTGCCAGGCAGGCACTGGTTAATTTTTAACTCAGAACAGTTTTTACTTGATGACAATTTTTGATTTTTATTTGGAACAAATAGAGCCACAAACATTAGCAAGTAATTAATTACTTTTGAAGTTTCATCTTTTGGAACCAGATCTGCCCCAGATTGATCATGTTTTTGCTTAATGTTCAATTCAACCCAACATTACTAATTGATGAAAAGTCAGAATAATATATTGAATTATTTTTATAATAACAGGAAGGTGAATGTTTGTGGAAAATGCAGAATATTACTTGTGTACTATGCAATGATGAACACAGAAATAATTCAATAATGAAACAAAGCAAATCTCAGACAGTAGCTCCCTCTATTATATATACAAGGAAACACTGGTTAGTTTTATTAAAATAGTCATGAACAATTTGAAACTTTTATTAAAACACATCAATTCAATAGAAAGTTTGGAATTGTGGTGAAGTTTAGCTTTCAATTCATTGTCATTACTCTACATATCAAGTCCCCTTTTCCTCCAAGAGAAAGGCAAAGCACTATAAAATCTTTTTAAAAGTATTTATGTTGATGAAGCTAGTCACCTAATGTATTTTTTTCTCCACCAGGATTTTATGGATATCTTTTGTACATGAGACAGTGTTGGGGTAAAAAAAAAGCGCTTTTTAGCTACATTTATCATTTTTATTTTCTGCAAGCAGAAACCACCATTTGTGGCATCATTTGCTTTCTTTCTTTCTTTCTTTCTTTCTTTCTCTCTCTTCTTTCTTTCTTTCTTTCTTTCTTTCTTTCTTTCTTTCTTTCTTTCTTTCTTTCTTTCTTTCTTTCAAGACTTCTCATTACATAGCTCAGATTGGCTTCAAATTCTAGACCTAAAGAGATCCTCTAGTCTCAGCTTCCTGAGTAGCTGGGAATAAAGGCACTGCTAGCCAGGGTATCAGTGCTTTAGCATTCTAAACCATTCACAGACATTCTTGTCCACATTTTTTTAAGACAGGACCTGGTGATAGATGGGTGTTGGCACATATCCAGCTCTAGTAACCATAATTTTCATATAGACACATATTCCATATTTATTCCATAGAGCTTTGCAGTTATTTGAGTAACAAATTCTGGTAAGTAAGTTGATTTATAAATAGCTATCTACTTCCATAACTTCTTAAATTCTGTTAAATTTTATAACCACATGCTTTTATTTGGAGATAACTATAAAATTCTCTCAGAATCACACATTCAAATTTTTAAATAAATACCCAAATAAATTCTCATGTATACCAAGAAGTTGGTTTATATCTTTACCAAAATGGGAAATCAATAATTTCATTTAAAGATTCACAGAAAAATGAATGTTTGAAAGCATCCAAGAAAATTTGACTTTTACAATCAGTGTCATGTAAATTTAAAATATGTTTAATAAAAAATAAAACTTCAATTAAAACCCTTCTCCTAACAAAAGTAATCTTCTTGATTTCTCTTTCCTTCCCATCTAAGAAATTTTATGCAATTAAATTTGGAACCATGAAGTTTCACTAAGCTTACTTTTAGCCCTTGTTTCTAGGAAAGCAAAACTCTGCTGGTCCTTTGTCTCTTAGTGGAAGTACTTATCATCAGGTTAGCACATGTGTCTTTACCAGAAGCTCATGACTTAAAATATGGTGTTTAACTATTAAATGTGAATAATGTCTGGGTATAATTGGCATTAAAAATTTAATAACACCATTACAACTAATTTGTCCAGACAGACTCAATAATATAAATATTTGAACTTTAAAAGAAATATGTATTTAATGACATAAATATTCTAATAAGAATGAGCAAATGTGACTTGGGAGAGTCTAGAAATTTTTAGGTTAATTATAGCAATATGATGACAGATTTTTCAGGTAATTTTTAACTCAGAAAGCCACCAGTCTCCAATTGCTCCATTTACAATATGATGATCATAGGTGAGTGTCAAAGACATTGCATTAGCCATATCAAATTCTTTTCATTATGTGTTAGAACCAGCTTATCCACTGCAGCACTAATTATTAAAATACATACTTGAGGTGGGTTAATAATGGCAGAGCAGTTCTTAATTCCAAACATTCCTAAATTGGAGATTGTAAAAGGGCCATCCTGAAACTCAGGTAATTTTAGTTTATCTTCTCTTGATTTGATTGCTAAAGAAATAGCATCTTAGCAATGGATTCCAGTTTTTTAATATGTGTTTTAAACACAATAGGTTTGATGAGTTCTGAAGATGTACTGACAGCAACAATGACATCAACAACGTAACTTTGCTTTATAACTGTGTCTACCTAAGAAGAATTTGCTTCAGGAACTTTGAAACATGCCAAAGCTGAAGCTGAAGTTATTGACTAAATTTTTACTCTTCTTTTCTTCTAACAACTTGTTAAATTCTTTCCATACCAACAAAATTTCTCCCATATTTATATCAGTAGAGAGGTGGGTTACTGGAGCCTTGCCTGGAGGCATCAATTTATCTGCTTGATTTTGCCCCTTGTTCTGTTTTCTGGCCACCATGAGATAACAGGCATGTAATTATGTGAGACTTCTCACCCAGAGGTTCTGAACTCTACCCAGCCAGGTGCAAGTCCCTAGTGCCACAGTCTGGAGGTGCATCCCTACTAGCTGACTGGGTCCTGGAGGCTCTGAACTCCATGCGGCAAGGCACAGGGACCCAATGCCACACTTCTGGGATGTGTCTCTGGTAGTTTCATGGAAGATCCAAGCTCTGCCCATCCCACGGTCCCAGTGCAAACCATCAGGGGAATACCTGGCTAGCCTCATAGATCACAAAGTTACCAAGCCCTGCCCAGCCCAGAGACCCTGAGCTGTCCTGTAGTAAGTATCCTAGCCTATGGGTCCTGAATATTTTGAGCTTGTCCCATCACAGTGAAAGGCTCAAGCACCATAGTTCAGAGGTGCACCCTGGCTAGCCATGTGGATATTGGAGTATCAAAGCTCTACCCAATGTAGCATTCCAGTGCAATCCATTGGGAGGATACTTAGCCAACCACACAGGTTCCAGAGGAAAATGACAAAATGAAAGAATTAAACTCAGTCTCAGTCCTCCAGCCCACCATGAACAATCCAAGAAAACATTGAAATGGAAGGCACAACTGAACTTTCTGAAATGATAGCAACTGAAGTAAAGAAACTCCTTGGAGTTGTAGAGGAAATCAGATCAGAAATGATCTCCCAAGTTAAAAAAAAAGAAATGAAAAACATTATGAAAGAAATGTTGGATGTATCTAAAGAATATCTAAATAAAAATTAAACACAAATGATGGAAGCATTGAATGAACAATATAAGACAGAACTAGAATACATGAAACAAATTCAGAAGAATATTTAGGAAATTAAAAATTCCATTGAGAGCTGGAAAAACTACTTGAATGAAGATGAAGGTAGACTCTTAGACCCTGAATACAGGGTGGAAACTTATGATCACAAAAGAAAAAGGTCTTTTAAAAATAATAAGGAACCAGGAAAAAATAATTCAACAACTGCAAGATGATTCAAGGGGAAAAAGTATAAGACTGATAGGTATCAACAAAATATTAAGAGTTAACACAAATGACATAAGAAGACTATTTACAGAAATATAGCAGAAAATTATCAAATATGGTAAAAGAATCTAATATAAAGATATATGAGACATAAACACGCAATTAGCCATAAACAAAATAAATCTTCACCCAGACATATAATAATTAGGATCTCAGAAGTTCAGCACAAGAACAAAATAGTAAAAGCTGTCAGAGAAAAAAAAAACAGACCACCTATGAAGGAAAACCTATCAAAATCGCTGCAGACTTCTCAACACAAACCTTCAAGACAAGAAGAGTGTGGGAGAAGTATTTCAACTCCTGAAAGGAAACAACTTCCAACCCAGATTGATGTTTGCAACCCTGCAAAACTATCTTTGAAAACTGATGAAGAAATGAGATACTTCCATGACAGAGAACAATTTTAGAAATTCGTGACCACCAAACCAAGACTATAACAGTACTGAAAGATACTCTAGGAAGAGATAAAGATAATTACAATTCCAAGAACAACATCAGAAGGAAAATACTAATCAGGGAAAACAGAAAAAGTAGAAAATCAACAACAGAAAGATAACTTAACAAGGATAACTCAGTATATATCAGTTATATCTATCAACATAAATGGTCTCAACTCACCAAGAACAGGAAACAGACTGGCATAGTAAATTAAGAAACAAAATATTCTGTGTATAGAAATCACACTTAACTTAAAAGGAAATTCATAGGCCAAAAGTTAAAGAATGGAAAACAATACTCCATGCAACAGGAACCATATTAAGGTTTGGTATTCTCTTTGCAGACAATGTGAGCTTCAAACCAAGAATAATCAAAAGATATCATCTGGAACCAAATATTTGTTAGGGAAAAAGTTGAAAAGGAAGAGATTACAGCTATAAATATATATGCACCAAATATGCAATCATGCAACTATGCAAGACAGTCTTAATTGATATGAAAAATCAAATAATCAATAATGGGATTATAATGGGGGCCTTAATATCTCATTGTCACAAAGTGACAGACCAGCAAACAAAAAATATAGCAAAGAAATAACAAATATTACCCTAATACCAAAACCAGAGAATGACCCAACCGAAAAAGAATTATAGTCCAATCTCCCTAATGAACATAGAGGCAGAAATCCTTAATAAAATACTGGCAAACAGAATGCAACCAGTCATCAAGAAGATTATGCACCATGACCAACTGCTATTCATTCCAGGAATGCAGGGGTGGTTCAAAGTATGCAAATCAATAAA